GTAAACAGGTTACAACCTGAATAAAAGAAGAAGAATAATAAGATCTTAAACGAACTACTTAATTTAAAATTGGAAATCAACAATCTCATGGAACTTGGAATCTTGGATTTGATGGAAGTGCAATATGACTAGAAAAGAATCAAACAACAAGAATTAATGAAGCATAAAAACTGAATTTAGTAATTAATATTAGACTTATACTCAATTCAGAACATTCAAAGTTGTTTTTCAAGCATTAAAGAAATCGTTAAATATTTTCGAAGAGTATTACGTAAACGAGAATGGTTGGTAGTGAAAATATAAACTTTCCCGAAATATATGTACACTTTAAAGCTAATAACACCAGGAATGTGTATAAATTTGTTAGACAGTTAAGATAAAGGCACAAATCGCACACAGCTCTATGCTGAGATGGAACAGGAAAAATAATATGTGATAGTGAAATGAATGACATTTGAAAACATTATTTCCAAAACCTATTAAGCATAGAGAAACTGATTTGGAAACAGACAGCAGTCCGTCACACCATAGAAAGGATAGTGTCATGGCACCTATATCAATCAGTGAGGTTCAAAACGCAATCTCTGCGGCAAAATATGGAAAGGTATCAGAGATTAATAACATACCATCGAAAGTATTCTAGATGGAATATTCATCATCACCAATATTGATGTTACATCTTGGAACAAGATTTGTCCTAAATTTTGTTGATATTTAGCCCAATTCTTGCACACGCCTCCTGTATACGTTCAGCATCAGTCTCATCTCTCCAAGGATACCGAAATAAGGACCATATCGTCCGCGTAGCGCAAATTACTTAGGTATTGCCATCAATTTTTATACCTTTTTGAGTCCAATCCAATTATTTAAATGCACTCTCCAGGACTGTGATAAACAATTTGGGTTCAACATTATATCGCCTTGCCTTACCCCACGCTCATTGTAGCATTCTTGTAAATGTTATAAATAAGTTTGGTGTATCGATAATGGACTCTGTATTCTTGAAGTACTTGCAAAACTGCCATCAATTCAATTTAAATCAAATTTTATAAATACCTCTAAATACCCATCTTGGGTAAATACCCCAGGGTATATATCCAGGAAATTTCCCTTGAAAATAAATACCCGGGTATTTAACAACACTGTACAGAAATGGTTAAATGGGGTTAAGTTGCGTATCTTAGAGCTCATTATTTTTCAACTAAGTTTTTGGATCTAGCCGTTTTAGTTTTTAAAATATGGCCGAAAAACAAAAAAATGACTTTTTCGTTTTTTTGCCTATAACTTCTTTATTTTTCGTATTTTCGTGAATCTGAAAAACAAACCTGATGATAGTTTCACGAAAACGAAACATCGGAGAAAATTTCTAGTTGTGTCACGACATTTTTCATAAAAAGTTGCATTAAGAATGTTTTTTCAGATTCACGAAAAAACGAAAAATAACGAAGTTATAGGCAAAAAACGAAAAAGTCATTTTTTTGTTTTTCGGCCATATTTTAAAAACTAAAATGACTAGATCCAAAAACTTAATTGAAACATGATGAGCTTTAAGATACGCAACTTTGCCCCCATTTAACCATTTCTGTATCTCTTATGGTTTCTGAGATCCCAATGGTAGGGGTCGAATTTGAATTACCCTGTATACAGAGTTTGCCAAAAATTATTTAAAACGGATTTAAAATATTTTCAAGACTATCGCTACTTCCAATCCAGTGTTGTCTTTCTATCAACGGAAGAAAGTGGTCATATTGTAATGCCTCGGCTTTATTAGGTATGGTTCTAGATTTTTTTGAGTAATTAAGTTAAGATATATCAATCTGAAATTGGTAATCGTATTGTAAAGCCTCGGCATCAAATGACCTCGACTTTATCAAACATCTTTTGATTAAATAAGATGAGGTTGCTTGCGGTTTACTCAAGAAAACAATTTTAAATTAATAATGTTAAAAATTGACATTTTCATACCTACTTGAATTTTTGACCTTGTACAGTGGCTGAAAAATATCATTTTAAAAATAGGAGGATGTTAGCGACTTTTTGAAAATGTTATTTATTTTTAAACACTTCCGAAAATACAACGAAGGAATGTAATAGGAGAAAATGTTCACATGACATCAATTATAGAAAGACCATAAATGTTCGCCTCCATAGATCAGAGACCAGCAAAGCTTTGCCGATTCAAACTAGAATTACTGCGCAATATGATATATGATCCACAAATGGAATGGTCAAATGAACACGGAGCAAGTGAAATTGACTGTAGATGAATATGTATTACTAAAATTGAGCTTTGCTCTGGCCCACTCTGGTCTAATATACGCCCATTAATGACGAACATACATGTGCTGTGTTATGTACTATACTAACAGAATATTAATCCGATGGTTTAAAAGATTATTTTTTTACATACGTTATCTTGCGTATTTATTTTACAAATTAACATCGCCACTATTATAAAAAAAAACAATACCAGAAAATAAATATTAGCGTTTATGTGCGTTATAGCAAATATTTGTGGAGTTGAGAGATCTTAGACGGTTATTAGAGCGAAAAAGATTTTTATTCTGGAAAAACATCGCATTTTCCGTTCGTTGGTAAATACTTTCACGGCAGTTATGGACCGTTAATTTCCTCTTCTCGACGAGTTAGTAGCAGCATACGCACCTGCCTGAGAGCACGAGCCTAGCACACCTGCCTCCAAGTTTATTGCAGGATACGCCTTTCTACAAACTTAATTTGGTGACAAATGAATATCAATTAAATTTACAAAATTTTAATAAATTGAGTGTGGCAAATTTATCATATAAAAAGAACCCGTATTGTTATGTGAGCGTTTTCAGTACTTTATAGACCCCTATAATAATTCGGTTCGATATAAATTAATTACTTACGAGTTACGATATCGAATTTTACCGTAAACCTTAGTCATTATCGCAGTCACGATAGATAGAAAGAAAATAAATTGAAAATTTTCGTTTTAAAACGGAATTTTTATCAACCACAAAAAAAGATGATTAATATTTTTGTTTTTGGAAGTGTCCACAGACATGGTAAAGCAACCATTTTATACCCACGTTAAAGTTAAAACGGTTCGAAAACGTTTGCGATAACACTTGATTTATGTATTATCGATTCTCCGGACCTGTGTGTCAGACTATCTCTATATATTATTTTTCGTTCAACGCAAAATTCAAGTTGTGTGTCGATCTCAATAAACGTCAATTTATTATTTATTTAATCCGGATTTAATATTTTATTTACGATTATTTATCTTCTAAAAAAAATTGTAGAATCACACTCACCATTTAATACCAAAAATCATTGTAGTCCAAAAAAAAAGATTCAATTTAGTCCTCAATTCAAGCTAAAGATTGAAGTAAATCACATTGGGGTATAAATAAATAACAAAGTCTACCTGTCCTGTATAATGCATGAAACGGTCGATGCCAATGGAACTCTGGGATAGTTAAATAATAATGGTGAGAAGAAACAGAAGTTCAAAGACTACGGACGAGTTATTGATGATCGGTAAAGTAGATTGATAAACATCCTAGAACTAACACTGGACCCAAAACTAAAAACATTCGATTTGTTTCTAGTTCTGGGTCTAGTGTTAGTTCTAGTGATAGTGCTGTGTTAGTTCTAGTTGAAGTTCATGATCTAATCTGTTCTGCATCCTCTACGTTTAAGCTAACTTGTTTATTTTCTTCCCCTACTACCATCATTTTAGTTTTGTACTTGAGATCACCTTCGGTGTTTGCCATAAAAACCACATCGTCTGCAAATACTCCCCCTGCCTTAATACCCCATCATGAGATAGATAATATCATATTGGATTTATGGCAAGAACACTACCAATGTATGACCAATTATGGTATAACGTATTATACAACGAAGAGTATGAAGATACCAAAAAACATTATTAGGACTTAATTACAACAACACTAAAGGCTACTGAGGATATACGAGGTAGATTGCAAGGATACTTGAAGGAATTTACTGAAGAACCCTATACTGCCTCAGCCTATACTGTTCCATAACATATGGGAAGGCAAAATCCTAAAAGTAGCAAAGTACAAGTCAAAAGAGTAGCAAAATGAGAGGGTAAATTAAAGATCTCCATCTCCGAATAGATTTAGATAATTTTTTTTCTAGATAATCACTAAAGCAGTCAATAGTATTGCAAAAATTTTTCATCCCAGCACTTTTACTTTATGTAATGCTAAAATAGTAACGAGTAATAACAGGTTTCTTGAAATGCATGCGTGCTAAACGAAAAATTGATGGAATACGATTTTTTTTAATAAGCCCGTGAAATTTATTTAACTCGACAGCAAATTTTTCATCGAATTAAAAAAAATAAATCGAATTTCCTGCCTTGACAGGTATATATACGATTATTTTTAAACACAAAACTTTTTAAAATATTGTGTTTCAAAAACTTTTGTTCATTGTTGTATTCCTCTAACCGAGAACATCTGTCAGAAGACCCACAAGTAATCAAACAATGAGTTTCCTTCACATTTTGGGATAACCAACACAAAAACTCGGTTGAAAAGGAACATTTTATATTCGATTTTGCTGATTTAACTAATATAGAATAATAATAATAAAACTTAGTTATTGTTTTAGTCGAGTTCTAAAAATAAAATAAGATTGTGAAATTTATTGTTTTATCAACAAATTACTGTCCTAGTTATAACACACTTCGTTGTATTTAAATTAAATGTCGTAACATAGTGAGGAACATCCTCGTTTGTTGACGACCTCCAACAATTTTAATTTTCATCCTCCACTAACTCAACATTTAAAAAGTATTAATATCTAATTATACACCGTGTTATTTAATTACACGATATTTATTATAATACTTTTTTATGTTTTATTATTTCTCATCATATAATGTTCTTTTTAACGTCGTAATCCAAACTTTGTCAATTAAAAAATTGGTAATAAATATAAATAGAATCTCAAAGAGAAAAATAATAACGATTACTCACCTTCCGTATGTGCTATCGTAATGTCCAAGTAACCTGTACTCAATAACAGACACAACATATAACACACACGTACAACAACATCCGCCATTTTCGCGCAACAAACTAAACATAGGAGCACAACTCGCTCCGTATACTATTAGTAATTCAGTTTTATGGTGGGGATAATCACAAAGAAAAAGACTCAAATCTACCTTTTGAATAAAGATATAAAGCGCCATCTATAAATTAATAGTCTTGTTATAAGAATTTTATATTACAGAAATCTGTTATATATATTCGATTTTAAATTAAACCAATTAAAATACGAGATATAATGGGAAAATAGAAATGAAGAATTCATTTTGACTACCTTTAGCAGTATTTCTTGCAAGATTTATTGTTTTGACACATACATTGGTTTTTGTTACAGAACTTTCACATCAAACACAGCGATGATCACTTCTCCATTATGTATATCAAAATTAATCACAAATGATAAAATTAATTGATCTAAAATTAACACTTGAAACATCACTAGAGCTATAAAAATTTGGGTTAAGCCTTGCGTCTCTCAAGGTAGCGCTAGTTAGCATAAAATATCACTATGTTGCATATTTTTATTAGAACTAAAATTAGAACTAACACTTTATCTAGAAGTAAAAAGTATCTAGAATGTTTCTAGTTCTAGGTTTAGTATTAGTTCTAGTTTTACACTAACACTCTCACTAGAACTAAGACAAGACCTAAAACTAGAATCATTCGGGTTTAGCCGTCTTGAGAGACGTGCGGCTAAATCCGAATGTTTCTAGTTCTAGGTCTAGTGTTAGTTCTAGTTTTACACTAGCACTATCACTAGAACTAACACAAGACCTAGAACTAGAATCATTCGGGTTTAGCCGTCTTGAGAGACGTGCGGCTAAACCCGAATGTTTCTAGTTCTAGGTCTAGTGTTAGTTCTAGTTTTACACTAGCACTATCACTAGAACTAACACAAGACCTAGAACTAGAATCATTCGGGTTTAGCCGTCTTGAGAGACGTGCGGCTAAACCCGAATGTTTCTAGTTCTAGGTCTAGTGTTAGTTCTAGTTTTACACTAGCACTATCACTAGAACTAACACAAGACCTAGAACTAGAATCATTCGGGTTTAGCCGTCTTGAGAGACGTGCGGCTAAACCCGAATGTTTCTAGTTCTAGGTCTAGTGTTAGTTCTAGTTTTACACTAGCACTATCACTAGAACTAACACAAGACCTAGAACTAGAATCATTCGGGTTTAGCCGTCTTGAGAGACGTGCGGCTAAACCCGAATGTTTCTAGTTCTAGGTCTAGTGTTAGTTCTAGTTTTACACTAGCACTATCACTAGAACTAACACAAGACCTAGAACTAGAATCATTCGGGTTTAGCCGTCTTGAGAGACGTGCGGCTAAACCCGAATGTTTCTAGTTCTAGGTCTAGTGTTAGTTCTAGTTTTACACTAGCACTATCACTAGAACTAACACAAGACCTAGAACTAGAATCATTCGGGTTTAGCCGTCTTGAGAGACGTGCGGCTAAACCCGAATGTTTCTAGTTCTAGGTCTAGTGTTAGTTCTAGTTTTACACTAGTACTATCACTAGAACTAGCACAAGACCTAGAACTAGAATCATTCAGGTTTAGCCGTCTTGAGAGACGTGCGGCTAAACCCGAAAGCTTCTAGTTCTCGATTTAGTGTAAGTTTTAGTTTTGCAATAGCATTATCACTAGAACTAACACAAGACCTAGAACTAGAATCATTCAGGTTTAGCCGTCTTGAGAGACGTACGGCTAAATTCGAATGTTTCTAGTTCTCGGTCTAGTGTTAGTTCTAGTTTTACACTAGTACTATTACTAGAATTAATACAAGACCTAGAACTAGAATCATTCGGGTTTAGCCATCTTGAGAGACGTGCGGCTAAACCCGAAAGCTTCTAGTTCTCGATTTAGTGTAAGTTTTAGTTTTACACTAGCACTATTACTAGAACTAAGACAAGACCTAAAACTAGAATCATTCGGGAGAGACGTGCGGCTAAATCCGATTGTTTCTACTTCTAGGTCTAGTGTTAGTTCTAGTTTTACACTAGTACTATCACTAGAACTAGCACAAGACCTAGAACTAGAATCATTCAGGTTTAGCCGTCTTGAGAGACGTGCGGCTAAACCCGAATGTTTCTAGTTCTAGGGTTAGTTCTATTTTTACACTAACATTATCACTAGAACTAACACAATACCTAGAACTAGAATCATTCGGGTTTGGCCATCTTGAGGGACGTGCGGCTAAATCCGAATGTTTCTAGTTCTAGGTGTAGTGTTAGTTCTAGTTTTGCAATAGCATTATCACTAGAACTAACACAAGACCTAGAACTAGAAACATTCGGGTTTAGCCATCTTGAGAGACGTGGGGCTAAATCCGAATGTTTCTAGTTCTAGTGTTAGTTCTAATTTTATCATTGCGAGTTACATGAAATTCTCAATATAAACATTTGATTTCAACAATGTTTAAACAACAGAAATCAAAAAATGTCATATTGACGTTTTAGATACCCATTTTATATCGATTAAACAATTTTCCAATTCATCACCTAAAATGGATGAGATAATGTTTAAAAATATGTGTAAAGAAATTATGAGGGAATGTAAAAATAGAAGTATAAAAGTTAGTGATCGTTTTATAGCGTACTATGTGAGTATTAAATTAATAATTTATTTCTAAACCGTATTTGATTGAAATCATTGAAATTAGGTCAAACTTCTGTTATTAAATCCTGCATGGAATATATCTTTAACAAATGCGGAAGAATTAAGTAGAACTGACTTGCAAAATTTTGTAAAATACATTTATACAACACTAGAAATCAAAGATAGTCCAAATGTTGTTACTTTAAAAATGCAACTTTACTTCCAATGTAATTTTGATACAAACGTAAACATTATCTCGGATTATCGGAATAAATTAAATACTCAATTGCAACCGTTGGAGCAAGAAATATTAAATTTTAAAAGTATTGAAGATGATGATTTACAAAAACTATTAAAGTTAATTGTTAATTACCTCACGTTGTTGCATGGCTTGGGGAATCCTTCTTCAGATCAAGTATTATTTTTACGTCTAAATATTTATGTATTAATTCATTTTTGGGTAGGTTTATCAACAAGCTGAAACTGCATTAAAAAGCGTCTTTTATAAAAGCGAATTAATAGAATTTATTCTCGAAGAAAATCACGACGTAAAAATCGACCATCTCAATATGTTATCTAAATTAGTAGCAGGAATAAGAGTTTTTAATCAACGAGCAATGAAATCTGGCGAGGGAATTGAAGATTGTATTTAAAAAAAATTTTATGATTAAGATTTAATTTTATATTTTTAGTACCTTCACTTCTTGCGCAGGCGAATGAGCAAACGCATTCTGATCTTCATTATATTCTTCATGATATCATGAATTTCGTTAACGCACTTACAACAGCAATTGATCTTGGTTTTATTATTGTAAGAGATGATGAGGAGGATGACGGAACTTTGAAATTGGTGCTGGAAGATCAAAATAAATATGGAAGTTATATTGATTACTTGATAGATCTTTTAGTGCTTTATAGGCAATATGAAATTTTTATAAGACAAATAATTGATGAGGTTGAATTATCTAAAGGGAAATTAGAAGCTATGTTTGAACAACTCGAGAATATATTGAAAGAAACTTATTCAATTATTTATCATAAAACTATGGTTCAAGCTTCTATTATTTATGTGAGATAATAATAAAGATATGCTAATAAGTTAAAATTTAATGTAAATTTTTTAGCCTCAATTTATAAAAATAGCTGAAATTTGGTACATAATGCAAAACGAGGTTATTGAGCTATCAAACATTAATGATACAGTTGAGAACTTAAAAATTTATTCAGAGCAAACTAATCGTTACGAAGACATTATTTACCAAATAATTGCAAGAAGACAAATTTTAACCGACGAAGACCGCATGGAAAAAACCGGAATGTACCGCAAAGCAATGTTATATTGCAAAAATACAATCATATTAAACCCTGGTAAAATTCCCAATTTCGATCAAGAACCACTAGAAGTAAAAAACAAAAAATTAAACCACAAAATAATTATAAAACAATTAATTTAACAGCTTTTGGGTTTTTGTCCGTGGAAATTCGTTCAAAGTGGAGGGGCATTAATTCCTGGAAATCCGGGAAATGGAGTTGTTAAAATAAAAAAGAGATATTACGTTTTTTCATGCGTCGAAGCTATACTAGAATTTATTAAAGACCCAGAAAGAAATGTATGTCGAGTATTAGAATTAGCACGACTTAAACCGGAAGTAATCGACATTTTAAGACTTTACGATCAATTAGATGAAGTGAAAACAATTTATCAGTACGTATTTAACAAAAAATTATTTCTCAACACAAAATTCTTTTTCATTTAGATTAGTTAAACCGATCGTAAAAGTAATAGCAACAGCCGACGAAAATATACAAACTGAAGATCATCCAGAAAGGTCTCACATCGATCCCGAATATATGTGGAACGTCTGGGATTGGAAAAGAAAAGCTTTAAAAATGGTTCGAAATGATAAAAATTAAAGGGTTAATTTAAAATAATACATTAATTTTTTTTAGGCTGATGTAGCAAAGAGATTGACAAAGTCGACACAAACGAATGCCACATCATCAAGGGGTTCAATAAAAGTACAAACACACTTCTTAAAGGATCACAACTATCAAACCAAAAAAGATGCTGGAACTTGTGTTCCTACACCATCAACATTTATTTTTGGTTTGAGAGGACGCAAAGATGATAAACAATTTATTATTACGTTAACGCGACCTATTGAAGAGAAAATTTGTGCTGATCTTACAGAAAATTGTCGAAAATAAATTAATAAAACGAATTTACTTCTTAATCCTTCGTCTGTAAACGGTTTTTTTTGTAATTCGCGACTGTAATGAGAGCTATAACAGTACTCAAACGGGTGCTGTAATGAGACTCCTTACAGCATCCGATGCTGTAATGAGATTTTAGCAACATTTTATGGAACCAGTTCAAGTTGGTGACATTGGGTCATTAATTTTTCTAGTTGTCAATGTGACAAT